TGTTGGTCAGAAGAAATCACATTGCCAAATCTTAGCCTGTGTGCGAAATGCACCATAATGACTACCATAAGGTGAGGCAAGGCATCATTCTATAATCTTAAGTCCCTCTTCAGTGGGCACACATCTTCTAGTAAGCCATCGGAGCAGACCCTGTGCAGTTAAGGATCATCCCATATATGACAGCGGCTCTTGTATTTCAGCTTCCGTTGATTTTCCTCCGTTGGTATGTATTTTGACACCATGTAGTTCACTATGTTGGTATACCACGGGTTGGAGTCACGAACCGTCATCAGCATGTCGTCTCTCAAGAAATCATTTATCGGTTGGTCCTGCGTGTCAGTGATTTGCAGCCCAAACAAATGATCTGCTACGGAATTTTCTACTCCTTTTTATCCTTAATTTCTAAGCCAAATTCTTGGAGCAGCAAAATCCATCTTAAGATCCGAGGTTTAGCATCATTCTTAGTGAGCAGGTATTTTAGAGCAGCATGATCAGTGTAAACTATCACCTTAGCTCCCACCAAGTAAGATCTAAACTTATCGATAGCAAAAACAACCGCGAGCAGCTCCTTTTTCAGTAGTTGCATAATTCAACTGAGCTCCGGTTAGAGTTTTGCTTGCATAGCAGATTGCATGATGCCTTTTATCCTTGGTTTGGCCCAAGACCGCACCAACAGCGAAATTGCTTGCATCACACATAATCTCGAAGGGCAAAGTCCAATCAGGAGGTTGAATGATTGGAGCAGAGACGAGTGCCTTTTTGAGAATTTCAAAAGATTTTAGGCATGCGTCATTGAACTCAAAGAGATCATCCTTAGCTAATAGGTTTGTCAAAGGCAGTAACCCCGACAAACAAATTCTTCAAACACCCGAACGAAAATATTATTGAAGTATTTGGGATTGTACAAGATGTGCATGTCTGCTTTGAAGACAGGGAGGCTGTCTTGGATTTCCACGTCTTTGAAATCCAAGATTTTGACATTCTAATCGGGCTTCCCATTGAGCAACTCCTCATAAACACGCCTCGATTAGATAGCCTCAGAATAACTTTGTGAGGGAACAAATTCTCAGTTCCATTCTCGCGGGCAAGGTTCGCCTTGACCGACTCTCTCCGAGAGATTGAGTAAGCGGAGGAGGTTACAGCAGTTCCCCCCTCACGAGTCTCCCAAGGCCCTTTTGGAAGATGAAGTCCTTGACTTCATCAAGGAAGAAGCGGAACCCGGTGAGACTCTCGAACTTCCAATATTGGAACCGCAACCTCGACCTCCACTTGAGCTTAAACCTCTACCTGAAGGCCTACGCTATGCTTTCTTACACAATGACAAAGAAGCCCCTGTCATAATCGATGACAAGCTCTCCGAAGACGAGACTCAACGTCTTCTGTCTGTACTAGAAAAGCATCACGCTGTTCTTGGCTATTCCCTTCAAGATCTTAGAGAGATCAATCCCGCACTTTGCACTCATCATATCCCTATTGACCTGGAGAGTACTCCCTCCAGGGAACCTCAATGAGGGCTCAATATTGCAATGCGAGGAGTTGTAAAGAAAGAGGTCATGAAACTCCTACATGCCGGGATTATTTATCCCGTACCATACGGGTTAGTCCAGTCCAGGTTGTGCCGAAGAAGGGAGGAATGACGGTCATTGCAAATGCTCAAAATAAACTTATTTTGCAATGAACCATAACCGGATGGAGGATGTGCATATATTACAGAAAACTTAACAAGGCTACGAAAAAGGATCATTTTCCTCTACCCTTCATTGATGAAATGTTGGAACGGCTGGCAAATCATTCATTTTTCTGTTTCCATGATGGGTATTTGTCGTAGGCTCTCCGGACCTTCCATTATAATTGAGAGATGAAATGTATAATTCAAGTCATCAAACAAGTATAATGAAATATCCGACGCCTCGAGAGAGGAATATTGGAGACATTGCCGGGCCTTTAGCCTGCCAGTCAACTTCAGCCTGAGATGTGCCCGTCAAACCACTCGAAGGCGGTGACCAGATGTGTTACACATTCAGGAGACTTGACAAAAATGGCTAAAGATCTACAACATCTCAAATATTCTTAACTCATACTCATGTGAATCTAGTTCCCAGGATGTGCACTAGATTCACACTTTCATCTCAAGCATGATTATACATAGCAAACACAAATAAGATGAAAGCGATTATAAACTACATCTACTTTAGTTACATTGGCCAACTGGCCAAATAAATATATAGAACAGCGGAAGCTTGTCTACTCAATCCACAAGCACACCGACTAGGGGTTTACCCCATTAAGTTCAAGTCCTAGAAGAAGCAGTCGATTACCCGCATCACTCAAAGACTAAATCTAAAACCTGCAAGCAAAAGGTTAATTCAATAGCAAGAGTCAGTACATTATTAGAAATAATGTACTGGCAAGCACCAAGACAAGCCTAAGACCCTACTTGCAAGGCATATAATCAAGGAAGGCATAATATGGTTCTTTTTAGCATAAAGCAAGTTTTATTTGCATAAAACATTTCTAAATCAGGTTTACTTTCAAATAAAATTTCAGCAAGCTAGTATTTGACATATTGGGCATCAAGGTAGGCATTAATCATGTATAAATATGCACCTCATTGCCTTCCATGGCAGCAAGGAGATCATTCTCAAATCTCATCACAATTTGAAGGTAAATTTCAGCATTTAGAAGAATAAACACAAGTCTATACTCAATACATATCCACACGCCGCTCATGACCGCGAGCACGGCTAATCGATTAGTTTTAACTCTGCAGAGTTTGTACACTTTACCCACATGATGCGAAATAATAATCATGCAAGAGCATGTCACGCGATACATAAGTACCCGATTTATTACCCGCAACAAAGCTTTTCCAAAATTCATGATTTAGCCCTACACCAGCACGATACGTGTTACTCCATCCTAAGCCATACACGTTATATGACCTAGAACCGTTAAGTGGCGGGCCCACGCCTTAAACTTAACGCCGTGGTGGCGGACACAACGGGAACCCACCACGTGGCACAATACCGTTGTATTGGACACGCTTAGTCACCTAAACTACCACTTCGGGGTAAATAGGAAGCTCCTCTGAATTATACGAACTCATACACACCGGCCTACCAGAATGTAAGGCTAAACCATAAATAATTTACTAAGCTTGGGCTATCCCATACTAGCACATGTGGTTGCACTGTATACGAAATGAACTGACATTGAGTGAAGTCCTTAGGTCGGTTTGGGCACACTCTCCCCCTATCGGTACACAACTAATCACCATATGTGCACCACTTGAGGCCCAAACCTAAAATCCATGTTTTCCATCATTTTATTTATCAAAATCACAAGTATTAAAGTTCTGTCCAGATTATTTCAAAATCAATTTTTCATATTTGTAATGAGCCCATAATGACAAGGAAGACCATTCTAAGCATGGCTAAGCATTATAGTAACCTAGTGACTCCAAAATTCATATATAAAGTGGTATAGTCATATTGTTCCTAAGGTTAGGAATGAGGGATATGGATATATGTGGGGTCAAGGTGAATGCAAACAATAGGAGTTTGTCTAACAAGTTTAACAAAATTTTAATTTATTAGTGTACAATCGACATGCAAGATTTGCAAACATTTTCAATAACCTCCAAAACATAGGTTCAAAGTGATCAAAGAGATGGAGGTGGGACTTGCCTTGAATCAGGAAAATGTCAGCACCTAAATCACTTCTTCACCGTTTAAGCAATCATCTATACAAAGTACACGTTATGCAATTAAACACCGAAATATGCGAAAAATCCAAAATGCTCTAAAATGGATGATTTGTGCACAGTGAATAGGTACTGGTCTAAAATTAATTTAGGTGAAAGAATTTCTATTTTATCTCATTTTATTTGGGAGTTATGAATTTTAGAAGTTTCGTCGGTATAGTGTAGGATTTACTTAGTTACTGTTGTGAAATGCTATTGTAAGGTAATTCTTATTAAGTTTATGTTTGCTGGGGTGAAGATATGTGTTTTCTAACACTAACACATTTGGTTTCATAATTTTTAGAGTTAATATGAATTCTTTATGTATTTTACAAGTTTTAACGTGTCATGGCTTTAGAGGTTTAGCTCTAGAACTTGCCTCATCTAGCTAGTGATGTATAAAATGAGTATTTTAGTTAACTAATCTAACCTTAGTTCATAGGCTTATGGTCTTTATTATCATGGTTCATATTTTATAAACTAAGGGAGCTCTAGTCCATGTTAGCAATTTATTATATCAACCTAGAAATTATTATATGAGCTAAGTGCCTTAAGTTTTGGTGGATGGGAATGGAACTATGCATTCACTGGTCTAACAAGTTTTATTTGAGTTTCATTATAGCTAGAGTGTATTTCTATATACATTTATATATATACATATTGCTCAATCGATACTATGTGATTAGCACCTATCCTATAAATTTAAAGTTTAGAGCTATAACCTGTACAGAAGGTTCCATATTTTATTTTACTATGTTGAAGCCCACTGTTTGCTGGTTCTATAGATATTTGGTTCACTTCATTTAGACTAAAGATGAATTTTCTACAAATTTTACAATTTAAGGTTGCTCTATGATGGTTATTACTTACATAAGTATTTAGAGGCTTTTATCATACAGTAAGTATATAATTTTATTTTATAATTTGGAAGTATATGTTTTGGTGATTCTACAGAACTTGGGTTTACTAAAAAAGATCTAAGATGAATTTTATATGAACTTCTAAAATTCAGCTTATCTAAAACTAGTCATTTAAAGGTAATAGTTTTAGAGGCATTTGATGTATAGTATGTATACTATTTCATTTTGCTTTATAGGAGAACATAAGTTGGTGGATCTGTAGAAACTGAGTTTGCTCCAAAATGAGTTGAAATGAATTTTGTATGCATTTTATAAATTTTGTGCGTGCTTTCTGTGTGATTTAACTTGGATAAATTTTAGAGGCTAAATTTGTACTGTGAGTGCAAGTTTTTATTCCATAACATCAAAGTTCCCAATTTGGTGAGTTCACAGAAATTTGAATCATCTTAAAATGAGCTATATTTAATTTTATATGGATTTTTACAAGTTTTAGTTACTGTTCTTTTATAATTTCAGATTTTGTTTCCAAGGGGTGCACTGTCAGTCTCAGGCCAATATGCAAAAAGGCTCCTATAGTTTCAGGAAATCAACCCGCAGTCCTATGACTGTTCTGTGTGTCTTGAGCTTTTGCATAAAGAGCCCTATATTAACCTAAATTCTTGTGACGAGGTCCCTGGTTCGAGCTGAAGCAGATCAAGCCATGGCTGAGCTCGATCTCAAGCTTGCCAGCGGCAAACGGTGGCTCGTTTGAGGGTGCGACCAAAAGACAAAATGAAGATCATGCTATTGCGATTCCATTCCTCTTCTTTTCTTGGTCAGTGGACATCGGAGTAACGCCGGCGGCGAGTCCGAGCGGCGGCTGTGCTTAGGCTGCTACTGCATGTTGAGTTGGTGCTCAATTCTAAGTGAATGAAATGCATGAATGCAATCCTATGGGCTCAAGGGTGCTCACCGAACCTTGAACGAGGCGCCGGAAAGTCTGGACAGCGGCAGCGGAGAAGAAGATGGTCCGGCGACGGTGTAGAGCTCCGGGAAGACGGCAACGGCTCGATCCACTCATCGAATTGACATGCATGTGTTTTCATGGGGTTAGTGAGGTCCCAGGGATGGTGTATACGCGAAGAATCGGACAATGGCTCACCGGAGGAGGCGGAATCGACAATGGCGACGGCGACCGGAGGTGGAGAAGACGGTGGACGATCTCCACACTCGTAGCACCATTCTTGAAGATTCTTGAGGGGAAATGGAGAGGAGGTTGAGGTGAAGCTGGTGGCGTGGTGGCTCGCTCCGGCTTGATCTAGATTGATGGCAACGGCGACGATGTTGCTGCGGCGGTGCGCAGAGCGCGCTCCAGAGCTCCGGTGTGCATGGCAGCGTTCCCGCCGATTGGCTGCACCAGAGAGGATGAAATCAAAAGGAGAAATATTCGGCATGGTGAGGAGAGTATGGAACGCAAGAGAAGAGGAAACGACCGCGGCTCATCAACGATTGCGGCCATCGTCTTCTTCGCAGCCGGTGATGGAGAACCAGTGGAGAAGAGCAGCGAGGATGCTCTCCCTCGTATGGATCGGCACTGGAATGGTGGGTGAAGAGTGGCGACGCGTCTGGGAGAGGCAGAAATGGAGCTCGGCGTTTTTAGGGCGTCGACACGTCGTGGCCACGCGTCGTGCGGCGTCCAGAGCCGGTCGGCGCTCGATCTCTCCCTCTCAGTGTTTCTCGGTCGGCTAGGGAAGTTGCACAGAGGAAGGGCAAGCCGGAGGGACTGACAAGGGGGGCCCAGGTCGAAGTAAACTAGGTGGAAGAGAGATGTGTAGGCAGAAACATGGGTGAGCTTGGTTTTTGGACGAATTTCCGGAATTATTTTCTCCTCTAATTTTGTAGCTTCAATACTTAATGTGTTGATCAGATTAACTAGTGTTGATTTTACTGGAGGTAGGTGTATGTACCTAGTTTCCATTTTCTTTGGTTGCACTCAAAAATTATGGATAGATTACTCACAGAAATTAGAGGAATATGGGTTCTTTGGAAACTAGTTCGAATTTTTAGGAGCCCTAAACAGAGAAGATAAATTCTGAAAAAATTATTTTTATTAATGATAAATGACCTAGTATTTGAATAAATTATTTTACTTATACACTTCTATGCAGTTAAATGCACTTTTAGATAAAGTATGGTTTTAGCCGATTAAGAACTACAGTTAATCTAGTTTTTATTAGTTTGACTGATTTATTTGAGGTGCAAATTTAGTTATTAAATCATACCAAAATTACAGTGAGTTGTATGTGTTGAGTAGAGCCTACATGAATTTTCCCATGATTTTATCTTGCACGAATTATTTTAGATAATTCTCAAGATTTATGTCTTATATGTGTTTCCCTTTCCTAAATGCATGTAAATGTTTATAAAAGTTATATTTGGACTCTCATTAACCTGAGGTGATAATGATATGTTAGAATTTCAGTTTACCTTACACAGGTCATAAGCTCCTTACCTATTATGCACAAGTTTACTTTAGTATTAAATTAAGAGAATGCTTATAGAGATGATTAAGATAGAATATATCCTATATGATATAATTTATTTGGTCACTTCCATGTTCATGACTAGTCTTCAGATGGATGACCAAAATAGTTTTGTGGGGCTTGGCATTGGCCTTGTTGATATATTTTAAGGTGTATGGTTCCTATTTTAACTTCCTCTAGCTAGCACTAGGCCCTAATGGTTCAGTTGTTTATCTAGATCTTAGTTAATATTCATGAGACCTATTATGATATGCAAATCGAAAATCCGAATGCAATCCAAATCCAAATGCATATGAAGGACTCAAGTCAAACATGTCTATGAGAGTATGCATGCTTACACATAAATTTATATTTTTGTCCTAGGTTAGAGATGCAAAGGTTTTTAATTTGTTCTAAAATTTTATCATGCAAGAGTTAGATCAACTTCACCTAGGTTTAAAATGGAAATTTTTGGTTTACAAAATAGAAGAACTTCCCTTTCAACTAGTTTTGATGGAAATTCCTTAATCCTAGAATTCAGGTATGTTACAGTATTCCGGGAATCATCAAATTCCTATCCATCCGGAGGACCAAAGTAAGACTACGTTCACAAGTCCGTACGGTACCTATGCTTATTGTAGGATGTCCTTCGGACTATGCAACACTCTTGCATCTTTTCAAAGGTGTATGATGTCTATTTTCTCGGACATGATCGAGGACATTATGGAGGTCTTCATGGATGACTTCTCTGTCTATGGAAAGACCTTCGGTCATTGTCTGCAGAATTTAGACAAAGTCTTACAACGATGCCAAGAGAAGGACCTGGTACTCAATTGGGAAAAGTAACATTTCATGGTTCTGTGAAGGGATTGTTCTTGGTCATCGAGTGTCCCAATGAGGAATCGAAGTTGATCATGCTAAAATTAACTTAATAGTTCAGCTTCCTCCTCCTGTGAACATCAAGGGGATCCGCAGTTTCTTGGGACATGCCGGCTTTTATAGAAAGTTAGTGGAAATGGAAGGTTCGGGTTGTGTCTCGATTGTTGAAGGTTTCTCTATCTTGGACACGGATGCCTCTGGATAGGGCTAATCAGATTGTGTCATGAAGGAAGTATTTTCTAGAATGCGATCTAGAATTACTTTTCCTTCCGACGGTGTTTTGTGCATGAATGATCCTCCGACGGTTATGTCCAGATAGAATGCCGATTCCTTATCCAGACTCGTATGAAAATGTTGCAAAAGCACATACTCAGGAAAGGAAAAGGTTGGTCCGGACTGCACTAAATCAGTGAATATGGACCAGGCTGCACCGATCGATTCGTTTTTGATCTGCTGGAAACTGAGGATCTCTACTCGAAGGGCAATGATACGAGTAACTGGGAAGAAGGCAAGGCAGAATCGGTCACGCAAATATACACCAACACTTGTGGATTATGTGAGATTAAACACCTATTACTATGTTCGATGTTTTATTATCTAGACTTTATGCAGATGTTGGCGATATAGAATCAGCATTTAATAACCGCCAACATGGACGTCCAGGATTGCTCCATAATGACAGTTGGAGGGCGTTTAGGACATTTCCCATACAATAACCGTCATCTGAAGCCTATAAATAGAGCTCCTCTCCCTCATTCCAACACACACCAAGATGTAGAGCTGAATTACAAGAGGCTCTAAGTATACTTTAGCTTCTTTATATGTTCTATAGTATACTTAGAATAGGGAGAGAGTAAAGTAAAAGAAGTCGGAGGACTCCCGGAGTTGTCGGTAATCCACTCCTTATTCTTGTACTTTTTTAATTACTTTGGTTCAATAGAAATATCATTCTGAGTAATTAAGATTTTCTTAGTGAGAATTATTCTTTGTTAGTTCCTAATAAGCATATGTGATCATTGTTCACTATAGTCCATTAATTATATATTTATTGCTTTAGTGTTTAGCTAGCACAAGAGTAGTTATTAATTGCGTAGACGTGTTGTCTGGGCAATTGATTTCCAGTGGTTGCTGCGTATCCCACGGTACGTTAGAGGTTGGTGTAGAGGTGGTGACAGCGCATAAGAGCACTTAAGTCCTCCCTGTCCAGGTACGTAGTCGAGCGACATCTGGGAATAGCGGGTTGCTAGTGCCTGAAGTATCGTGTTAGGATTAAAATTAAGCTTTACTTAGACACTGTTTCTCACTAGGAAATCTTCTCTACCTTTATCCATATTTATCTTGTGTCATTGATGAACCGGAGGAAGAGATAATCACACATGTTTCCTTGGATTCGATACCCTTGAAATACTCCATAGGGGAAGTGCTACATCGGTATATCCGTGCGCTTGCGGATTCTATCTGTGATCGTAAGAAACACCAACAAGCATTTCTGGCGCCTGTCCATATTTTTCTATTCTTCTACGTTCACCCTGCTCTATCCGAAGAAGTTTCCTGGAATACACTTCTTCCTCTTCTATGGAGCAACCTATCTTTGAATTATCTGCTCATAGGGATGAATTTTATGAGTGTCACGACCGGAATTAACCCAACGGGCGTTCCTTACGTGTGTGTATTATTCCTTGTGCTAGGAGGCAAGGTACACCAAAAGTTGATACATTTCAGAGTTTATCCAGCGGAAGCATAAATAGTTAATTTATTACATGGGCGGCGAAGGCCCAGCACACACAAAGACAAACGGGAAACAGCGGAAGACTAGGGCGACGACCACAGGCGCTTGACGGCAGGCACGAGCTAGACACCAAAGCCTTCATCTTCCAGGGGCTCCTCTTCTGGGTTTGGGAAAAATTGAGCAAGACTGAGTACAACCACCGTACTCAACAAGACACACCTACAAGTGCAGGTTAAATGCAAGGGAGTACAAGGGGGTTATAATATAAAGGGTTAGGGTTTGCAGTAAACAGCATTAAAAGACACTTAGTTGCTCAAAGCTATTTTGTAAACACGATTCCAGAGCTATACAATATTATTAACCAAGGCCGTGAACCCACACGAACCTGCCTTAACCCAAGGCCTACAATGATTCAGACCGAACTGGCAACCCGACCCTGGGTCCCAGCTTGTCCCAAGCCAACCCAGGACAACCATTCCACATTTTAGTTGTTAAGCAGGTTTTAAGAATTAAAACACTAACTTCGGTACATTGCTCGGCTTGCCCATAACCGAGGGCGCGGCTATTCGAATAGATTATACTCTAATCAGAGGTGTACATCTTTACCCACAAGACACATCTTCCTCACGTGTAACCACGTGCCACATACCACCACGGTATACGGACGGAAGACGTGACATAGTTTCCAACCCATCCTAGCCATAGACAAGAGTACCGACCCAACCCCACCTACGGCCGGAACCCACGGGACAGGTAGGCAGGACTGAGCCCCTAGCAGCAGGACACCGGCCCTGTGCCATGACATCTCGACTACCGGGCCGCAGCTCGTGTAGCCTTCATTTGTCCTAGAGATGTCCATCGACCCCCGACTTCGTCCATCTCAATCCGTGTACTATTGTTTATAACCAGACTGAGCCACAAACTAAGCCTTACCCACTAGACATGTGGAAGTACGGTAGTGCTTTGCAACAGAGGCCCGAAGACCGGTCCTTATATGGCCGAGGTGCTACTATCAAAACCATGCACCCCGAGCCCAGGCTAAAACCATTTTGAGGATTTTGAATAGAGGGGGAGGTGTGAATCCAATTCCACAATAATCCAACCATTCCATAGTGTCCAGGTGATATGAATATCCTAAAGTCTAGAGTTGTAAAACCACCTAATGTTGCCTAATTAACCAGCGAAGCATCTACCTAAAATCATACTAGTGGTACCATGAGTAGAGTGTGCACTAGTTGGGGTTTTGTTTATTCTAGGGTGAACAAGGAAATAATAACAATAACAATAATAAGATCATAACAAAGGTAAATAGGCATGGCTATATAAAACAGTGATAACGCGGGAATTTAAATAAAGCGATAATGCAATAATTTAAATCAACATAATTTTATAAACTGGGTGTCACGTCCCAAAACGACTCTAAAATACATCCTCTAAATTATGCCTAGAATCATTAAAATCCGTGGGAAAGCCTCCAACAAATAAAAGGTGCAAAGTTAAAAGTCAA